TTTTAATATATTTATATTTAAATAAATTTTAACAATATTATAAACATTCATATAACAATATGATGCTAACGATAATAATAAAGTTAATTATTATAATTTATATTTTTAATTAGTGATCTATTCTTGCAGTCTTAAAGTTGTACCATAAAAATAACAACATTTAATATGATAATAGTTTATAAAAACATGATATATTATATAAATAAATTTTATTTATTATGTATAATATATAATGCATTGAAATTTCCTGACGTCTGTGAGCTATATATAAACATAATAGCGTTGTTAAAGAATTGATTAAATGTTAGTCTAAATAAAATTATTGATAATTTACTGATACATACAACTTATAAATATATACTTTTAATACATATTATATGATATCTATAATATAAATTGTTCTCAATTAAGTTAATATTAAAAAAACCAATTATGTTTGCGTCACAGATATCACATAATTTTATATTATATTTTAAATGAGAAGCTATTGAATATAAATATAGATAATTATATTTTTTTTAAATATCTTTTCATAAAACTTATATAATTATTTTTTTCATCATTAGATATTTATTTGTTTGGATTTACTATAAAATGCTTAACAATAACCGTCTATTTACTGTAATGTATACATTTCTATTATTAGATTTAAATTTCACAATAAATTTATTTATTTACTAAATAAAATAATTAATTAAAATAATAAAATTAGATTTTGAAAAATTTTGATTTACACATGATAAATTACTTATTTACTAATAATTTTATTTTAAAACCTATTTATTTGAATTTTATTTTGTCATCTTATATAATTAAAAAATATTTTTAGGTATTTTTTTGCAAAAATTTACTATTTATTATTTAATGTGTTTTTATTGGGAGAATAACATTTATATTTATTTTTTTAATTTAAATTTAACAATATTTTGTTTTAACTGAAATAATTGCATAAATAAGACATTGATTATCTATTGATATTTAAGCATTTTTTGAGTAACTATGTTATTGATAATAGACAGCAATTTACAAAATTAAGTACAAATCTTTGGGGATTAATATCAAACAATTTAATCAAATGACTTAAAACAAAGAAAAACTCTCCAAAATTTTACCATAAATTTTACGTTAATTATCTCTAATAGTTTTGAAATCAAATAAAAAATAAATAAATAAAGTTATACTGTAAATAAAATAAATAATTTGTATGTTCACCAAATTGATATACAAGTTAGTGTTTTTAATTATAATATATTTTTTATTTATTTTAATATAACTACATAACTATTTTAGATAATTATTGTATAATTTATAATAATTAAAACAAATGAAAAATGTATAATCTTTATAGAATTTGATATTTATTTTAATTATTAATATATAATTATAAATAAATATTGAATTATCATGGTTTATTATTAGTATGTATGACATTATTGGATAAATTACAGTATTTCTAAAAAGCTAGAAAAACATTACTTTATTAGTAGATCATTAATTGATATAAATAATAATAATAATAATAAACAATATATCATATTATTTGACAATTGAGTTAAAATAGGATTACATGTATTAGAGTTTTAAATATTTGTTTATCAAAAACATAGGGAATATTCTATTCATAAATAGTTTTTACTGAATATAGTATTAAATTTCATGTAAATGAGTGTTGTTTTTATAATCTCGTTGAAAATATTTACTTTTTTTGCTCACTTTGAACGTCACTTTGACGTCAAATTAAACATTAGGTAAGTCTTCATTAAAAAAGACATACAAAAAAACATCGGAAAACATATTGAAGACAAATAATAATACATTTAAAGGAATATTTTGAATGAAATGTGTAAATATATTTTTATTGGTTTAATATTACAATAACTGGTAAACTATTTACATTTATATACAATATTCTATAATTAATTTGTATTACACAGTAAACAGTAAATATAATTTTATATACAGTATTGTATTAATGTTTGTTAATAATAAAATCTATTTTCTTTATAATATTTGTAATTTGTTTTTAGTCATTTGTAAAATTTAATTCATATAGATACCAGATAATTTTTATTTTTAAAATTTACAATTACAAACAGGAATTATAAAATTTATAAAATATTAAGATTATTATGCAAAATAATATTTTTAAAAATTTAAGATATTTTTAAATTAGTCAAACATAAACAATAGTTATTTTTTTAAAAAAAATATTATGTTTTTTATACTGTATATAAAAAATATATATTTAATATAATATTTTTATTATTGTTTCATATGTTTAGATAAAATTCTAAATCATTATAAATGTTTGTCTCTATTTAAAGACTTCAAACTAAGTTATGAGAAATATTTAAATATTGTTCATTCATTACGTAAGTATTGCTTACGTTTATAAATAAACTTAAAAAACTAAACATAAGTACACTTTTAGTTAAAAGTGTTTTCTAAAAACTCAAATATAACACTAAAATGATTGGTATTTTTATTGTCAATATATTGTTTATTTTATATAATATGTATGAAACGATTTTTAATCATAAAAACTAAAAATTCTGAACTATATATATATAACACTTTTACATCAAATGTTTAAGTTTTACAAAAATAGAAAGTTTGCCAGAATTTCCAGTTAAACGTTATTTTAGTTTCTCTATAAATAACTAAATGTTAAAAACAAAAATAAAACTTATTGAAGTATTTAAATTTATTGAATATTTTGACTTTTAAATTAGTATCCATTAGATAATTTTAAAATATTTGTGTAATCGATTCAATTTTAAGTATAAATTTAACTAACATTTAATAAGAAAATAACAATATCTTTAATTATATATAATTAGTGGTATTTCCTAATAATATTGTAGTTTAATTTAATAAAGTTATTATTTAAAAAATGTTATTCTTATATCTATAAATAGTATATTAACATTAACAGTATTTGAGCAATTTATAAAATCGTAGGCGTTTTGTAAATATTATTGTATGAAAAACCATTATTACTTTGTTTAAATATATACAGTATATATATAATAAAATATTTTTTATACAACTATTAAATATAATAAACAACTTATTTGTAAACTACAACATGCTACTATTATTACAACTACTATTAACCATGCTAAATTAGTATATAATTGTCTATAATTTATCTTTAATTAATAAAAAAAATTGATTTTCTATATAATTTATGTATAAAAAGTTTAAATTAACATTAAATTCATAATTAATAATTAAACATCATGATAAATATATCAAGCTGTGATTACTAAATATAAATTTATTTTAAAAATGCACGCATTGTTTATTATGTTAATAAAAATTTAACAGATAGTTAATAATAATTATTGTAGATTTTAACAATTACTGGGTATCGCCACTTGCACTGTTAGGTATTGTAAAAAAAACTATTACTATTATCATTAATTGATTATTTATGGCAATACAAAACCTTATGTCAGATTAAATTTTTATAATAAATTTTATATTTAACTCTTTAGATTTGTATTATGCAATTTAAAATTTATACTACATTAAATAATTAAATAAATTTGTTATTATATTTAAATAATTATATTATTAAGGAATTTAATAATAATACTAATTAGTGTTATAGTGAATATATTATTTATTATGCTGTTATATTATTTAAATATTTATAATTTTTTAAAATTAACTCAATGAAAATGACTCATATTATATGGATTTATTTTTAATATATTTATATAATAAACTACTCTATAATGTTATATAAATTTAAATTTTGTTACATATTATTAATATAAATTAAATAATTCTTTAAAATATATATATATATTACTAATTTTATCACTGATTATAAATCTGATTGTACTATCACTATTATACCTTTAAATAATAATAATAATACTTTAATAATAAGTGTAAAAAGTTTCAATGTCTCAAAAGTCTCATTAATACTATCAAACATTCACAATATACAGTATATTCACAATAAATATATACGAAATCTTTAAAAGTATAAAAAATATAAATTGTATTAATAGTTAAAAATTAATTTACATATAATAATGTATATAATATTTATTACAAATACTATACTTTACATAGAAATACAATATAAATTATATTATATAATACTGTATATTAAAAGTGTAAAACAGGATCTTAGTCTTGCAAGATCTTGTTTTGGTCATATACAGGACAGGACAGGACAGGACAGGACAGGACAGGACAGGACAGGACAGGACAGGACAGGACAGGACAGGACAGGACAGGACAGGACAGGACAGGACAGGACAGGACAGGACAGGACAGGACAGGACAGGACAGGACAGGACAGGACAGGACAGGACAGGACAGGACAGGACAGGACAGGACAGGACAGGACAGGACAGGACAGGACAGGACAGGACAGGACAGGACAGGACAGGACAGGACAGGACAGGACAGGACAGGACAGGACAGGACAGGACAGGACAGGACAGGACAGGACAGGACAGGACAGGACAGGACAGGACAGGACAGGACAGGACAGGACAGGACAGGACAGGACAGGACAGGACAGGACAGGACAGGACAGGACAGGACAGGACAGGACAGGACAGGACGAGATTTTCGGCTCAACTTACACAACTACTGTCTATATTAATGTACATATTAATATGCAATATATTAAATGCATAGTAAAGTACAGTAAAACAAATATATTAATACATATAATGCCATCTTTTGTTACTTAAGTTATCTATTCTATATTAAAGGCTTTATCTAAAAAGCTTACAATTAATAAAAATCTATTAAAAAGTTCATAACTGAATAAAAAAAACTAAACTATTGTTTTTGTTTAAAAATTTAAAGTTTAGATTAATATTTATAATGAGTTAATGAGTTGTGTTAGTAATGAATTATAAATCTAAATATCAAATTAAAAATAAACTTTTACTCTGTTTTCAACTTAATATGTGATAAATTTCTTTAAAATATTTGTATAAAAGGAAAGATTCAAACACTTTTCAAAACATTTTATAAATTGATACCAATTGAGAAACAAGTGTCGAGTTTTTAATTTCGATTGATTTTTAAAAATAATTCATTAAATTTTTATATTTTATTTTATTTAATTCATTATAAACTTCAAAAATGTTGAGATATATCATCGCTATAATACTGGTTGGTATGACATTAGTGCCAAATATGATGTCAGTGCCGACGCAAAGTCCAGTTAGCAATGATTTGTATGAATTGTTTTCCCAACCGATTGAATCCAACACTACATTATCATCATTGGTGTCAACTATGGCTACACTCATAGAGACGAACCAATTGAGTTTAAACACTGATTTTTACCCAACACTTCACTCGGCACTTATGGCACCGTTTACTTTATTGGGTCGTCTTTTACAAGATTTTCTAAACTTTTATGAAAACAAGTCGTTTACACAACTGTTAACCATTGAATCGCTTCGGTCGACAATAGTATCGGCGCCACAACAACTCATCGCTTACTGGAAAAGACTGATAGACATGGAGTTAGAGTGTATTCACCGAACCATTTGTGATCTCTCGGCCTATCTGTTCCCTCTTTTGCCGCAATGGGTTAACCAATTGTCAGGCGTCTACTTCGGGACATTCAGCGCTGAAAACTCCTATTACAGAGCCGTTACCAATGGTATGCTTAACAGGAATTGCGTCCACTATTATGCCAACTGTTCACTATTAGCTTAATATAATAATAATAATAATATAATTGAATATATTTAATATTTAATATATAATTTTGCATATTTTGTAAAATATATTCATTTCAAATAAAATGATTCATTTTTGTTTTTAACTATTTTAAACTTATTTTTTTGCGATTTTTTTAATTTTTAATTTTATGTATAAAAAAGTCATTAGAAAAGTATTGCTGTGACTACCCTTTTGTATACACAAAACGTTTCATAACATTATTGACCACACAATTGGTGTGTCGTTGGGATATATAACGTTATATAAAAAAAAGTTCACATAATGTGTTGAGAATATATAATCAATATTTGTTACGATAGAGTCGGCATATTTTATCAAATCATTAAATACTTTATAAGCAATTGATGCAAAACTACTGAAAAAAACATAAAACCTATTACCGTATTCCTGTCCCGATGGCTACTATATATATATATATATACAGAAAAACAAAACGCAGAATATATTTTATATAATATACATAAAAAATATCTATTTTATAATTATAATTAAATAAACTTAGATAACTGATAAGTTACTAATAAATACAGATAGTTTCTTTTTTTGTTAATTTAATAGACCCAAACATGTAGCTGATTATATAATATACTGTATTTTTTATTTTGAGACGATTATCATTATAATGAATACAATCAAACTAATTGCACCTATCATTACGTGATTTTGTTGTTTTTTCTAAATTTTGTCCAACATTTAATCAAAATAATTAATAATATAATATATATGTATATCTGAATATTTAATAATTTTTAGAAACTTATTAACAATAATTTTAGATATAGTAAGTGTTATATTATCATATTTAACTAAAGTTAAACATAAATCTTTCTAAAATTTACATATTTTGCACACTGTGAATAAAAATAAGTAGTTATTCAATTAAATTAATATTTTAAAAAATATTTTGTTTTATTTTAAATATTTGATTAGTATATTTACAATAAACTACTGTATTAATTTGTATAATAACTTATTAGCGCTTCAATAAATTAACATTTATATTTTAATAATAGCATTAAAATAATGTATTACAAACTAATTAATAAAAATAAATAATATTATAATTTGATCATTTTTTCATGGTTTTTTACAATAATTTATAACATAAATGCAGTTATTTATTTGACATTTAGCTAAAATATGAAGACGACAATTGTAATAATTAATCAAATTAGGTCTAAATTTTATTTTTTTTTCTTTTAAAAAAATCATTATCTGTTTTAATAAAAAATATATAAATTATTAAAATTTGTGTTTTTTTATAAATAATAATCTATACTGTTATATTTAATTTAGAAATATATTATTATGAAATACATATATAAAAAAATTGATATAGTATTTTTGATAAGTATAGTATTTTGAAATAACATTTATCATAATATAATTTGTATAATACTATAATATATATATATTGTATTTTTTACATAATTTTTATAATTTAATGCATAAACTTAACTGTTTTGTAAATTAATTATAATAAAAGGTTTTTATATTAAAGTGTTATTCCATTTATAGTTTGAATAGTTTATTAAAGCGAATAAAACATGAGTTAATTATATAAAACCATAACTTTATATTAATATATAGTATTTGTATATTTATACTCTTTATACTATTTGATATATATCTGTATATGAAAAATGCAATTAAATTATATTTTGATTTATACCAACTAAAGCTATCATATATTATATCGTAATCATTGTATACTTTTTTTTTACTTATTTTGATTATAAAAATTATTACTTTGTTTGTCTTAAATAAAATTATACTTTTAAATTAATATTGTAATTAAAATAATATGTTATTTATTGAAAAATAATATATAAACAATATTAATATATTAAAGTTTAGTCTTAATTAACTTTTATATATCTAAATATATTATAAATTTTAAAACATAAAATGATTATTAAAAAATAAGATTAAAACAATATGAATTACAATATAAATATAAATATTTGTTTTTGATATTTATGAGAAATAATTAATAATTAATTAATTTTTTGTTGTAGTTATTTTTACATATTTTACTAATATTTTATAAATGTTTGACGTTAATGCTAAATATTAATAGATACAGAATATTATTTGATAATCTCAATTCAATTTTATATTATTTATTTTTTGTATGTATTTTTTCAACTACGCTTTAGTAATTAATAAAATTTTATTAATATGTAACGTTTAAATTGTATTTAGATATTAAATCTATTAAATTATTGGTTGTCTATATTTTATACAAAATATTGTTAATATTATTAAATTTTAAAGTTACACAAAATTACATGACATTTTAATAATTTCAATGTAAACTTATATATGATTAATAATCTTTATGTATAGTTTTCTATATACATGAAAATGGTTTTGATATTTACATTTTTTTCTGGTGATTATAAAGTAATAATTTTAAATATATATATAATTTATTAAAAGTCATTGATGTGTCCGTAAACTGTATTGATATATGAAATGAAAGACAACGAGAGTATAGGGCGTTGTATTTAATATATACAATACTACTATACTTTTTCTAACATGAGTTCAAATATATTTTACTTACTTTTTCTTTACATAAAACAATAATTTTTTTATATAATATATAATGTTTCGCTAATACATATACATTATAAATAGATATATACAGTATTTTTTTAATCCATAAGTTAGCTATTCGTGTCACACCCGCTACTAATGTGCCGGTGCTTTCTAACTATTGTGTCTAATGTTGAGATGAACAAAATATTTTTAGTATCTAAAAAAATTTAACAGAATCTAACTAAAAAAGATGTCATACTCTAGTATATGTAAAAATCTAATGTCATAACTATAATTATTTTTAAATATTAATAAAAAGATTACTTTTAAAATTGATAGTTATGGTATTTCTAATTTCTACAAAAATGGTATCAATATAATATATATATACCGGTAAGGTATTAATAATAATAGTTAAAATTAATTTAAATACTGTATTATTTTATTTGTTAATCTTTTAATAAATTAGATGTCATTTTGTAATTCTTTATATTAAATATTAAATTATATTTATGATCAATATTTTTTCATCTTAAATTTTTAAAAATAAATTAATACTTTATTTAATATTTATAATAATAATTTTTATAATATAGTATTTATATAAATATTTTAATTTAATTTAATCTATTCCTTAGTAAGAATACTAAAAAAATGCAATTACTATGAATTTTTTGTGTGTATAATTTTGAGTGTTTTATCTTTTAGTCTTTTAGTGATTTAATATAACATTTAATAAAAAAAATAATTTAACTATAAATAAATCTATTAAAATATTTTGTTTTTATTTTACAGTATATAAAATTCCATAATTATTTAAATAGTAAATTAGTCAGTGTTGTAAAGTAATGTATTGATATAAAATTTATAATAAATTTAAACTATAATATTACATTTAGTATCACCTGCTCTCTCTCTCTCTCTCTCTCTCTCTCTCTCTCTCTCTCTTTCTTTCTCTATCTACCTATCTTTTACTCATTCACTCACTGTTATACCGATGCTATTGAATGTACCACAGATTCAGTTAATATATCAAACCTATGGTTTGAAACAAAGGTATACTTAACCGATAAGTATTGACATTAATCTAATAGTTTATTCATGACATCAATAGTTTTATCGCACAAAATAATACATTTGAACAATATTTTTGTCACAATTTTCACTTTGTATGTCATTTACAGTAATATACAATTTTTATAATTTATTATTTTTGTTTCATTGTATTTTTAATTAATTAATAATGATATAAAAGTATAGATGTGTTTGTGACTGAGAGAGTTAATGAAAGAGTGAGTGAGTGAGTGAGTGAGTGAGTGAGTGAGTGAGTGAGTGAGTGAGTGAGAGAGAGAGAGAGAGAGAGAGGGAGAGAGAGAAAGAGAGAGAGAGAGAGTTTTAGATAAAATTAAAAACATAGATAATATTGTAGAGAAACTAATGATTATTAGGGATCCATCAAAACTAGTGTGCAATGAATGACCAATGCTTTTATGATATACACAGTATATCTGTAATATAACTAATAGTAATAATCACATAACTGATCGCATATCACGTATTTTGCAAACTCTATGCATGACTTGATATATAACTGCATTGAGAGTGCATTTAATTTCCTTTTGTAACCAAAATATTAGCCCAAAAACTACTTATCCGCTCAATGACTATGACTCCACCGCAACCATCACTAACCAACACCACAACCAAACTAATACTTCAATTGTTTATTGGCTTACGATTAGCTATATATTAATATTATATAATACATATCAAAAACTAATTTTAATGTCTGTCCTCTTAGTTATTATATTATGCCATTTTTGGTTACAATTTGAGTGCTTTGGTGTCCACCAAAATATTATTGCATATAATTAACTATTATTTTATGACTACGTGAGCTTATATATAATATATAAAACTATGTAAATTTATATTATATATTATTGCATTTTTATCATAATATCAGTATTTTTATATAAAGTATATTCATGTATAGGGCTGTGCTTATAATGTATGTGCGCTGTCTAACAAATATTCCGATTACTATTTGCAATACTTTTTATACAATATCTATACATAAAATAACAGTACATAACATTTACATACAAACAAAAATCAAACAAATCGTAGCATTTAAATAACAGATTTGTATTTGTTTGCATTTTGTTGACAACAATACTTAAAACAATACACAAATTTTACTCTCAATATAGCAAATCATACAAACAATATATATATATGTAATCTTATTTCTATATACACACAGTATTTTAGTTTACAAATATAAACTATCTTTTAGAGAAAAAACTTAAAATTGCTAAAACCTTTTTATTAGTTTTAATAATTAGTTATTTTTTGCATAAAGTTTGTTTGACACGAAATATAAATATTGAATATATTATATTGAAAAATGTATATAAAATATGATAATCACTAATATTCTATATATAGCTTTAAATAAATGATATATAAAACTAATATAAAATTATTTGAAGTAATTTTTTAAAATAAATTTCCAATGATTTGAATTATTTTTATATAAATGGAATATAAACTATTATATTATATGTACATTATATTTAGTATGTATTATACAACTAAAATATAATATTAGTTTATATATTAATATTCGATGTACATAACAAAGATGAGTAATCAATATATCATCAGAAAGAGAGAGAGAGAGAGAGAGAGAGAGAGAGAGAGAGAGAGAGAGAGACATTTAATGGGTACATTGTAAAGGTTAGCAAATTTTACTCAATACATCTATTGGTAACCATTTAAGTCACACCCAACTATATATTATTGAGTTTTATATCAAATATGAGCTCATATTTATATATATGTATATATATGTATGTATATAATAGTTAGTTATGTAGAGTTCACAGTCACTCACTCCTCACTTGTGTTTACTATAAGTTTTATGGTTTATATGAGATGTTAGTCAGTCTATCAATTGTTTCACTGATGAGATTTGTCTCACATCTCATCATTTTATATGTCATATGCTCTCCAAATGACAAACTTTAACCAAAAAAGTGTAGTCTTTTGAAAACAAATTTCTAAAAATAAAACTTTCTTTCAGTCGTAATACCAGATTTAAACTGAAGCACAGGTAATATTGAAAACTTTTTGACTTTTTATTGCATTATTTTTTAATTTCATTAATTTTATTATTTTACATTATTTTATCATTTATAAATTATTTATGAATTTAAAATATAAATTTCATTAATAATTGTATAATTAATTAAAATATTATTTAATTTATTAGCACCATATTTTTTAGTTTACTATGGGTTTCTTAATTTAATAATTAATTTATTGTTTTTGTGTAATTTAATTTTTTTAAATTTATTAATAAATTAATTTTTATAATATTTTTTAACTTAATACTCAATGATAATTTTAAATAAATTTATAGCATATTGTCGTATAATTTAATTTATATTTTATAAATAATATTTATCTGAATTTAAAAATACTATTATTTTTATTAGTTATGCCATATATTAAATATAATTATTTTTTCATAAAAATGTGTGAATATTTTTACAACTATGACTAAAATAATTTTTATTAAAAAATGTTAAATACGTGAAAAGTATTTATTGAAAGTTTTAATATATAATTTAAATCATTTCTACCATTTTACTTTTTATATAAATATTATATATAAAACAATACAATCATATAATTATTATAAATTAATTGATTTACAGAATTATAAATAATAGTATTTATAAAATTAATTATTTTCATAATATTATAATTCATACATAGAAACTATTTATTATAATATTATATCTGAAAAAATTTTGTAAAAATTACAATATATATGACATTATAATAAATACTAATTAAATCAAGAAAATATAAATAATTAATTTATATAATTCATGACTAACATTGATTTACAATATTTTTTTGTGGTTATAAATGATAGCAATATATAGACCTTTGGTATTTAACAATGGGTCAAATAATGATAATAATAAAAATCTATTAATGGCACGAATATTCATTAAAATATACTATTAATAAATATAAAGATCAATAATCAATTGGCGTGTCTTCAAAAAAAAACTAACCCAACAAACGGATAGTTAGATCCAGATTTATAGCCATTAAATTGTCAGTTCGTTGGCATTTCATTTTTAATGCTTTTATTTCCCATTTTTTTGTATTATATCATATTATTATTAATGTTTATCGTCTAAGAAAATTATATAAACAACATTACATTTTCATTTGATTAAATTAAGCGCAATTAGTCTACTATTATAACTCTATTATTAAATTATTTAAATTTATTAAAAATATCCTTTTACTATGTTGTATATACAGTATATATAGATATATTAGACAACTTATAAACATTACGTTTATTTAAACAATTTTAAACTTTTATTTAAATTATGTAAATCATTAAATTAGTAAATTTATACTATATTATACTTTAACATAAATTTCCATAAATTATTTAAAGTTAAGTTATAGTTACAGTTAACAGTATACATCAATTTAGGCAATCTATTGCATATTTTTATATTTAAAAATTTCATTTATAGAGAGTAATAATAATTTATATTAAAAATCTTATTATCAAAAGTGCATTTGGTATGCAAGGTATATATATTTGAAATATTTTTTTAATTTGATTTTTTTGAAACGATTTGTGTTGAATACCTTTCTCTTGTTGTCCACTGTAACCAATCAGACCAGTGGACAACAGGATAATGGCGTTCAGCGCCTATCGACCACTAATTTGATTAATTTAATTGATATATAATTTAATTTTTAATTGTTTATTGCAAATGATTTTATATCAACATATAAAAAATTAATAGCAATTGTAAAGACAGAACTAATTTTAATCAAAATTATGACCAAATCTGTCCCAATCATACTTATAGTCAAATTCGTCGATCAATTGACCAAATCTTGTCCTCCAAATCTCATAATTGGGTTCTTCTTTGAAATCTAAATGTTTGCATTCAAAAAGAAAATCTACAAAAACATTGGACGCGTTTTTAAACAAATGTTTCATTGGTGTCGTCTCTTTAATCTCTTGGACAGCTTTTTGTCTGGAAATGGTTTGTCTAACTTTGATGCCCTGCCAGGGAAGTGAACCTAAATGCAAATAAGCCATAATATAGGCCAACGATTCCATATCATCTCTACGGCTCTGTTCATGTCCTTTATTAGCATTGATTGAACAATACCTGAGTGTTCCCGTCATTCGTGCGGTAGTATTAAAGTCGATATGTTGTCCCGTTTGGTTGTCCTTATATGGTTTGGAAAGACCAAAATCAATGATAAATAATCTTTTTGAATGTATACCTGAGCCCAATAAGAAGTTCTCTGGTTTGATGTCTCTATGTATAAGTCCCATACTATGAATGGTTTTCATGATTTCAATCATCTGAAAGGCAATCATTTGGATAGTCTTTTGCGAAAACTTTTTATCACACAATTGAAACAATTTTTCCAAATTAGGTCCTAATAATTGCATAACAATTACATTACCCAACTGTGTTTGGCTACCGTACCAATAGATCGCTGGTATACATGAATTAATGGGTTTTAGATAATCCCTATAAATCGTGATTTCATGCAAAACTGATGATTTTGAATTTCCTGTCTTTGAATCCAATTTGATGGCCACTTTCTCACCGGTTGTCAAGTCCTCACCAGCATAGCAAATACCAAACCCTCCCTTTCCTATCGGTTCGCATATCTTATACTTATCACAAATTAATGATCCCGTTGTTAAGTTTCGTTCATCTGATCCCATTTCTTAAGCTATAAATTTGTCGTCTTTCCAAAAAAATTCAACTTTTTAAAATTAATTTAATTGTTGAATAACTTAATTGTGAAAATTTTTAAATTACCGCTACTATACAAATCTATATATAATTTACATTTAATATCATTTTAATAAAAAAAACAGTATGTTAACAAATTACAAAAAATAAAATAAAAACAAAATGCATTAATTTATTTATAAAAATATCATTTTAATGATTGATGTGAATAAAAATAAAACAAAAAAAAACTAAATTAATTTAACTATTATTAGGAAATCCAAACACTTTGACAGTTCCGGTGTCTCTTTGATACGAGTCTTTGTCATCGCAAGCAAAGGCTAACAAATAGCGTTTCGGATGAAAAGCCACCGTAAAAGTTGGCGCTTCGGTCTGTATTTCGGTAACCCGTTCTCCGGTCTCGACGTAACAAATATCAATAATAAGATCCTCTGAAGCCGAAGCTAACAGTTGTCCGTCGTAACTAAAACTTATGGTACGTGCGGGCCATTCAAGTCGGGACATCGTTCGCAAACATACTAAATGATTTGCGTCCCAAATGCTGACCATAGCGTCGGCCGAACCGACAGCAAAATATTTGCCAAACGAATCAAATTCAATACAAATACAAGTGGCCGGATGTGCGTTCAGTACCATTTGCGGCTGTAATGCGGGATACGACAGCACGTGGACGTGTCCCTGACCTGAGGTCAAGAAAAACAAGTCGTTGTCGTTGTTCCAACTGATTTCATTTACTTCAAATTTGAACTGTTGTTCCTTTACTGTCTTATGTGTTCGCGTGTCGATGAATGTCACCCAATCCTCTTTGTTGCCGACGGCAATCGTATGGCCATCCGGTGACCAACAGATATTAATATTTTCGCCTTTTGTCTGTACAGTCGTAATACATTTGGTACTTCGGGCGTCCCATAAACGCACAGTTCGGTCGAGCGAAGCGGTCGCCAATTGGTCGCCATTGTTCGGGTGCCAACACAGCTGATCCACACTATCTGAATGGCCTTTAAATGTGTGTTCTTTTGTTAGTTTGTCGCTGTTTTGTGTCTGTAATGCAAACAATGACACCGTTTTGTCAAAACTTCCCGAAGCCAGTCGTCGTCCGTCACAATTCCAGTCAACTGAATGTACTTTTGACGAGTGGGCCGACAAATCGCGGACGCGGTTATTGGCCGACAAATGTTTGCGGACTGACTCTACATATTGACACATCTTCGCTAAATTACTTCTTCCAATGTTCTTCACTAAAAACTTGTGACCCAAACCTCTGTTGAAAATAACAACCAAATGTTGGATCAGTTGAAGTGATGGTTAAAAAAACAGATTCAAAAACTATAGATAAAGTAAATGATATGATATTTCAATCAACCAATCAATGCAAACATGTTTTTCCCATTCAATGATTGTTTTAGTTTTATTAATATTAACACTAATATAATGTTAACACTAGTCGTCACTACAAACATAACTATTATTATAATAAAACAATTTATATATAGTCTTAACAAAAATAACATAACATTTTTAACAACTATTTTAAGTTCCCATTAATACAATGTTATTATTATTATAGCATAAATTGAATATTACATTACGTTTGAAATGTAAAACCCGTATGAAATTTAAATAAAACGTAACGTTATATTTGTATGGATTTTATATATTATAAATAGATTTTTAAATGAAAGCACTAATCATATGACGAATGAATTGAAAAAAAAAATATTTATTTATTTATTAATAATAGAAAAGAAATAATTGATTGAATGACTGACTGATTGTTTTATTACTCAATTGTTTGGATCAATTGACAAGTGATTGAGTGGACAAACCATTTAATATTATTATCGACGACAAGACATACTCAGTGACCATACATTATGGCCGATGCAGTCATGAATGTTGAGAAAGATGTGGACAAAGTAGTGATGAAATTCCAAGAAATCAGAAATCATACGGAAAACACTTTGGATGATCTGATCCAACAGATCCAGAGCTATCAAAGAGATCTAATGCTACTGAGCTGTAAGTATTTATTTATTGAAATGTTTTCAAATAACTCTGTTTGACAAATGTTTAAACATTAGGACACATATGAATTGATTTAATTATTATCAATCATTTGATTTGAAAACACTATATATTTATTAAATGTTTTGTTTGTTTGTGTCTTTAAAGCGCCGACTAATGAGTTGACGGAAATTCAATGCGATTTACTGTACGATAATGTTATTAAAAAGACCCGAAACACTATCAGTCAGTTTTCCAGTGAGCACCGGGACATTCACGCATCGGTATCACGAATTGGTAAAGTAATTGACAAGAATTTTGTTTACGATTACTCGTCGGTCAATAACGAAGCGGTCTTCGAGAACCCGGCGAACGTAAACATCTTGAATCAGGTTATTGTCGAACACTTTCTCAGACAAGGAATGCTGGAAATTGCCGAACAGTTGACAAAAGAGGCCAAACTTGATATACCGGACAATAAAAAGAAACCGTTTACCGAATTGAATAACATATTGGACGCATTGAAGTGCCATAATCTTGAGCCGGCACTGGAGTGGGCGATCGCACATCGGGAACAACTAAGACAACAAAATAGTAATACAAATCTTGAGTTCAAACTCCATAGATTGCAATTTATTGAGCTATTGAAGGGAGGCGTTGAAAATCAGATGAAATTGATTTCATATGCGCGACAGTATTTTCAGCCGTTGGCTGACAAACACGAGAAAGAAATCCAAGCACTTATGGGTAGTCTTCTCTATCTGAGGACAGGACTCCAGAATTCTCCGTACAGTTATCTATTAGACTGTCTCTCATGGAATGAAATTTGTGATATATTTACGAGAGATGCCTGCGCTCTATTAGGTCTGAGCGTTGAAAGTCCGCTAACAGTCACCATAAATGCAGGTTGTATTGCATTACCAGCGTTGCTGAATATCAAGCATGTGATGCAACAAAGGCAAGTGACCAATGTTTGGAATACTAGAGATGAGTTGCCCATCGAGATCGACCTGAGCCGCAAATGTCACTTTCATTCAGTATTTGCCTGTCCTATACTAAGACAACAGAGCACTGAAAACAATCCTCCAATGCGTTTGGTGTGCGGACACGTCATATCTCGGGACGCACTCAACAAACTGTCTAACGGCACAAAACTCAAGTGTCCGTACTGTCCAATGGAACAGAACCCCAACGACGCCCGACTCATACACTTTTGAACAAATGCTTGCAAAACACTTTATTTCTCGTTTTTAATTATTTTATTAACATATTATGTATTAAAAAAATATATCTATATATATATCTCAGGACTTTAGTATAAATTTAATAAATTTGACTTTTGTATGATAATTATGATTACTGGTAAGCGTTATATAAAGCATAAAATTATGAAACTATGAAAATTATAATATAAAAATGCTGTTACTGTATAACAATTATTTTGATGTGAAATCATAGACCTATTAAATTATCGGTCAAAATAAAATAATCATTTATTATCTATTCTATCCCAACCCCCATATTCCTCCTAATTGTAAAAATATTTAAATACATTAAATAAATTCAAATGTACAGTAATATAATACGATATTTTCACAAATAATTTTACAATTTATTTAATTGTCATTTTGAAAATTTGATACAAACACATCATTTTCTGCAAATTTTTTGTTTAAATAATTAGCGAAAGTGCACAATATATTTGTTTTACAAATTATAAAATGAATTGGAGTATAAATTAAATAGATTTTTGTTTTTGTAATTACCGTAAGGCTTATCAAAAATTCAAATGATTTAATGAAAGTATGAATTTGAATGTCATTAATGATCATTAGTTAGAATTTCATGAAATAATTTCTAAACAATATCTAATTTTATATAATAAAAAAAACTGTCAAAATTTAATTATGTTTTAGTAAGGAATGCTTTTTTATTCTGCTTTCCATAATTTGTTGATTAAATTAATGACCAAAAAAAATGTAGACAAATAATTTTATCAAACAATTTAAGTCAAACTTGAAATTGTTTGGATTGAAGTTTAGTGATAATAAACTCTAACTGTCTTTTAGCTTCACATTGGGGAAAGTTATCCATATTATAATATGTAGATGCAATTCGGACCAACCTTTAAATTATTAAAAATAATAGTAATATATAAATTGAAAGATAGTTTTATAAATCAAATCAGAAAAAAATAATACAAACCATTCGGGTTTGATGTCAGTTACTGTTCTAATATAATTTTTTGTGGTCAACACAAACTCGTTATATATAACCCATTCTGGTTTATGGTCCAAACACGAGGACGGGTGTAATTGGACGATCTGATTGTCCTTAACCGTCAAATAGTGACCCGTTCTCTCTAAATGTGCGACCTGTTTGAATACATTAAGATAACAAAAATGTTATTTTAATATTCATTTAAAATTATAAATATTTTTTTTAATAGTATTTTTAAGAGATGTCATACTTGCATAAAATAACCAGAAATGAGTGCTTTTCTAATATTAATGTAATATTCTCTGGAAGTAAAGTCTGTTGAAATTCGTTTCAAATTAAATCGATCCATAATTCTGGACAACTGTTGTCTAACATTATCAGCACTTTTGAGTGAACGGAAGTTTATAAAGTTTTCATAACACCAATTGGGGTCGTCATGATCTGGTAAATGTGCAAATCATTCAAATAATTTAGTAAATCAATCAATAAATTAATTAAATAATTACATACTTTGTTTGAATGCATGGTAAACATTCAATAGAGTCAAGTGGTCGCCATCGATGTGCGCGAATCGCATCTTTGCGTCGTCCGCAGCCTTCTTCTGTTCGTTGGGTCGAACAAAGCATTGAGGAACTGGATGTCAAAGAATATGTGAGTAATACAGTATATTGTATAAATACTGAATAAAAAACTGATAAACACACATACCTGACAGCATAGCAGCGATGGATAATATCTCATTAGAACAGTTGTATTCACAAGAAGCGGTCAACATTTTAGACAACTGCGGATCCAATGGAAACTCAGCCATAATTGAGCCCAAGTCTGTCATCTCTCCTTCGTCGTCGAGTGCATTCAAATAGTTCAACAGTTCCAGTGCTCTCATCAATGTTTCGGGTGCTTTCAAAAGAAAAAACAAAATTAGTAATCAAAACTACAGTATATTATCTAAAAATAGTATGTATAATACCCGGTGGGTCCATAAAATCAAAGTGAACCAAATCATGAATTCCCAACTTTTTAAGTTGAAGAACAACCATTCCTAAGTTGGACCGCAATATTTCCGGATAAGTGTTTTCCTGCATTTCAGTCTTAAATGCCTTTTCAGTATACAGTCTAAAACATTTTCCCGGACGAGTACGACCCGCACGACCTGCTCTTTGTTGAGCCGATGCTTTCGAAATGGGAGAGACAAGCAATGATTCGACACGAATACGTGGATTATAGACTTTTTGTTTAGCAAATCCAGGATCAATAACATAAACCACACCATCGATTGTCAATGAAGTTTCAGCTATGTTTGTCGATACGACTACTTTTCTTCCAATAGCACCGTTCGCTTTCTTAGGAGGTGCCGCTTCAAAGATACGTTGTTGAAGATTCGGAGGTAATGTTGAATACAATGGTATACATTTGAGTTCACCGACATCTGAACCTAAATTGTCGATTTCACGTTTAATACGTTTACACGACTCTTCAATTTCCTGTTAATAAAAAAACATTATTTCGTTATTATTATTAAGTTATTATAAAAAATTAATGTTTGCAATGTTTGGTAGTAATATAATTACATTAATTAAGATTAAATACATAAGATTTACATTGAAAATCATTGCATTGTTAATATGTGCTCAATGAACACCATAATACCAATCATAATGGTATCATGACTTCAATTAAGCCATTTATAACAAGATTTACAATTTTATTCCCAAAAACTATACCTCTTGTCCCGTAAGAAATAGAAGGACATCCCCTTCGATTTCTTCACAGATATGAATTTGTACGACTGTCCGGATGGCAGCTTCCAAATAGTCCTTTTCGGGTTCGGGAGTATAAAAAATCTCAACGGCATGTGTCCGTCCGGGAACATTCATTAGTGGCGCGTCATCGAAGTATTGTTGAAACTTTCCGGCGTCGAGAGTGGCAGACATGATAACTATCTTAAGATCAGAACGTTTGGTTACCACTTGTTTGAGTACACCCATCAAGATATCTGTGGAAAGTGTCCTTTCGTGGGCCTCATCAAGAAGTATAATACTATAAGCCTCGAGAAGCGGATCAGACATAGCTTCACGCAAAAGCATACCATCTGTACAGTACTTAAGTATTGTTTTAGGACCCGAACAGTCTTCAAAACGTATACTATAACCAACTTCTTGGCCGAGAACTACATCCATCTCTTCAGCGACACGCGTGGCCACAGACATAGCGGCCACTCTTCGGGGTTGAGTACAGGCAACACCTATTTTGATGCATTTGTTACGGCAATACTCGACACACCACTGGGGTATTTGTGTAGTTTTGCCGGACCCGGTCTCGCCCACCAATACTATGATCTTATGGTTGTCCATCAAATCATTAAACTGTTCTTTATATTCCCAAACTGGTAATTGAATGCGTTTGCGGAACAGTTCGTAATATCGCTGAGAGAATGGCTGTCCGGTGCACGCGTTGATACCCGCGCTAGTCGTTGACTTTGCCGCCGATTTTGCATCTTTAAGAAGTGAATCGATGTCCGCATTGGATGAATGACCATCTGATCGACTGTTAATTTAATACAAAACAAAGAAGTGGTCAAAAATTATTGTCAATTGATAATCATATTCGGGTTTTTAATTAATTTTCAAAATATACAGACTTTTTCTTGGAGTTGGAATCATTCAAATCAATTCTTCGTTTAGACATCACTGGTGTCTTCAGAGAGATGAGTGCTTCGGCCAACTAATTGATTCAAATGGTTGTCCTAATGGACAGCACCTGACAGTCAAACGATGCGATTAATGTCTTCAATGGACTAAACAATGGATTAATTATTAGATAAAAACATAACATTTGTGTTAAAAGTGAGACCAAAATCAATGTCCGCTTTACGTATAGACCGCTCACAGCTCTATATATAACAAATTTGTTGAGAAAGCGCTGAGAAATGCTTTCTATATTTACAATACAATCAGTGTTTTTACAACAATACACACTAGTGGTATCAACCAATCACACATGTGGTATCAATGTAAAGGTAGTAATGACATCATAAGTAAATTAATGCACAAATGTTATATAGTATTAATAGTGCTTTTAGCAATTAATACAAAATATAATATGCAGTGTTACCAAATAAAAAAAATAACAACCCAAATTTTAAAAATTAAAAATATAAACTTAAAAATTATGTTGCTTCAATTTAATTAGGAAATAAATATATATAAATAAATATTAATAATAATTTAATAATAATTTAATAATAATTTAATAATAAATAATAATTTAATAATAAATAATAATTTAATAATAATTTAATAATAATATATAACATATTTATACAAAATTAATTAAAAAAATTTTTATAATATTTAATTATTAATTTAATTATTTATTTTATTTAATCAAATAAAACCAAAATACCTGTCTTGGATGGCAGTTAGATAATATTAGGTTCGAAGAGCGCAAACCGGTACTTAAAATGTCGCAAAGTGATGATAGCCCAGACCTCCCTGAGTCACACCATACTACTTACATACATATCCCTCTACCGCAATTGAGATTTTCGACAAGTTCAAAAATCGAAATTTTTTAATTCACGTTATTTATGCATATGATACATGATTTCAATGTATTTTTAATACTAATGATATATCTGAAAACAAAATATTAATGTCATTTAGTATTCGAAATATTCTACATTAAAATCGTAATTATTTAATGCGTTATTTATGCATTTGATAAATTATTTCACTGTATTTTTAAAAAATGATTTTTATACTCGTATAAACTGTTTTATTTTTTATTATCTTAATATCAAATATTTTAAAATTGTAATTATAATAAAAATAATGAAAATAATAAAATAATTAATTAAAGTAAAATAATTATCAAATATAAAAATAATACAATGTTAATTTCTATAAAGTAGTTTAATTATATAAATACTAAATACTAATTACTTTATTGAAATTAACTGTATTATTTCTATATTTGATAATTATTTCACTTTAATTAATTATTGTATTATTTTCATTATTTTTATTATAATTATAATTAATGTAGAATATTTCGAATACTAAATGACTTATTGATATTTTGTTTTCAGATATATTATTAGTATTAAAAATACATTGAAATCACGTATCATATGCATAAATAACGTGAATTAAAAAATTTCGATTTTCCAACTTTAAAGTTGAATATCTAAAACTGCGGTAGAGGGATATGTATGTAAGTGGTATGGTATGACTCTGGTAGGTCTGAGCTATCATACATTGCGGAATTTTCATTACCGGTTTGTGTTCTTCGAACCCTTTGGATAACATGTTCTTTCATATTATTGAAACAGTTATGTCAATATAATTTATTGTCACTTTATAAGTCTGAGTAAGTTTTCGTGAGTTTTTAATTGTTATTATAGTAATCTTAAAATCATCAAAAATTTATAATATATTGCTTACTAGATAATTACTAGTGTATTACTAAAGTATTATTTGGTCATTCTAGTTATTTCAATAATGACATCACTACTTTACCACTAGTGTGTATTCTACTAAAAACCCTGAATACAATGCATGCAATGTGTGTTCACTCAGTAGTAGAGATGTTGTACTACTCTATAGTAACAGTGTTTATGAGTGACCCATAAATACTGTATAACGCAATACATTCAGTCAATGAATGAATGAAAACAAAACATTGAATGCAATAAAAAAAGTGAAAGTCTTTGTCAATCAAACAAAACAAACAAACAGTGAAAACATCACCAAAAAGATCAACACAAAGACAATCGTTTAATGATTTAAAGACAACAATTAGATATCATATATCATCTAATGATCAGAAATGTGGTTAAAAGTACTTTTGATGACATCCTTTGTCTTGTTTATGCTTTTGTTGTCGCGATTGATGGAAATGACATTAAATGGCAATCAATTGATTTCGACGCAAATCTTTGTCAATACTATCGGTCTTAGTGTAAGACAACTCAAGTATTTGTTAGATATTAGAGGTGTTAGTTATGACGGAGTGTTGGAAAAGTCAGAACTGATCCAATTGGTAGATCAAAGTGGATCTGTTAGCGAACGACAACTAATGGACGCCGAGTATGATATTCAACAGCAAACGACTGCAGAGTTTGACAATAATGCAGACATCGGTAACAACAATGGCATGAATAGTGATGACACTCACACCAGGAATCAAATGTATGATATTGTGGCTAAAAGTGATCGACGATTCAGTTGTGGCGCTCATCTCTATGAAGAAGTTGAGGATACAAAAGATAGCGCTTGGATTCTGAATGTGATGGCCATCGATGGACACAATCGTATTGATAGTAAATTGTGGAAAAAAGTGGTCGACAAGTGTAATAAATATGGAATCAGAACCGCTATCTTTGACTGCGCTCTCGATCCCAAACTCTGTCAACGAAAGTCATGGAATACATCGCGACTGATATTAGCGCTTCCGCGGGAAGGACTTAAAACTAAAGAAGATGTACTTATGATTACCTATTTTATCGGACAAAATACCAAATTTCAACAGATTATTGATTGGATACATAAACAGTTGGTTACAAGAGTGACGTTCATCGAGTCTGAAGAAGAACTTGAAAACAAATGGTTGCAGTCATCGAGCAATTCATCAATGGATGTCTACAATGATATTAAAATGGTGTTCATCTCAAGTTTGAGTGCACCTCCTCTTATACTGTCGGCGTTGGCCATCAAGTTTAGTGGACGCATTAAATTTGGCTTTTTTAAGACATCTGCCAACAAAAAGAAATCGTTGGCCATTAAACTGGATAAACGTATTCCCAGTTATATAATTGTCTTATCCGACAGACATTACAATTATGGCCAAAAATCCGGAGAAAACCTAAAGTATTTAAGTATTGAACTAATGTTACGCACACTTAGACCCGAAACCAATGACGTGTTTCTATTGAGTCTTTTGCTAACAAACTTGAGTCTCGCTCTTCACTTGTTTTGGATGAAGTGTTCAAAATTGTGGAAACATTTAGTTTTCTGGTTTATATTAACTGTTAAATACAATTGTATACTATTTCTTATATGGTTAGCCATTCATACTTTGCTGGCTTGCGATACATTCCCAATGATAACACAATTGTGTACTTATGGACACCGATTCTGTCAATACTTATCGCTTACCGAAATGGCAACAATACTACGCTATGATATCCAATATAACTATAAGTTTCCATTTTTATTGATTTCTTTTATTACATTTGGTCTTCTATTGGCATTTATTCGCCGAAAACTAATAACGAGTGATGACAACGACGATCACCACTTATTCCACGATTGGACTCCTTGGGAGTCAACACTATTGACTTATATATTATTTCGACCAATAAGTATGACTTTATTCCGTTCACGAACTAACACATCCATTGATATTAATTTAGAAGAAGGTATGGAACTGCTTATTGAAAGACTAGCTGTTCCTAACTTATGGTTACAGACTGAGCTCATATCTAGCGATTACATTAAAGAATTGCCAATTTGGATACATCATAATCCTGTTGATGATTGCGATTTGTCGACCAATGAGACCAATGAAAGTGACAATAACTCGAGCTGTGATGACTTAGTGACGAATAGACAAAGTCGTATGCAATGCCAGACTTTGGTCACACAAATGTCATATCAAATGAACTCAAATCAATTGAATTCTAGTCAAATGTCCGGTAATTTTCATCACTCAGATGACTGCCATTGCATCGGGTCTTCCGACACAACAAAAGTAGCTTCAAATATACGATTGAAATCAAATAATGTTAACAGCAATGCCTGTCCTGCGAAGTGTCGTAAAGAAGTCGTTATAAGACACAGATCGCAGAAAAATGACGAAATATTGGCAAATAGTGATCATAACCTCAATAAATGTTTTATACCACAAGGTATGATCAAATGCAATGATTGTGCCATTTGTCTGGAAACATATCGCACAGGTATCTCCATATGTGGACTTCCATGCGGTCATAATTATCATCAAAATTGTATAATGCTTTGGTTATATAGAGACAATCATATTTGTCCGATCTGTCGGTGGCCAACATATAAACAAAAACCAAAACAAGAATAACATTTTTGATTTATTATTATTATTAACTTATAATTATATAATTATTAACCAGAATTTAAAATAATGTTATACTGTATTTTATGCAAAAATTGATAGTTTATTAACTGAATTTAAAATTCAATAAAAAATAAGCAAGGTAATCATTAGATTACTGTAAAAGTTATACATATTTTTTTAAAAAGTAGTTAACTCTAAAAGTTATCAAAAAGTTTTTTTTCAGAGATGAGATGAGATTATAAAATATCTTATTTAAAAAATTATTATTAATTATCGACTTTTTTACTTCAAAATTCAAGTTTACTAACTAATTATAAATATTATAAAAATTATATATAAAATAATAAAAATTAATAAATAATATAAAAAATTAATAAATAATATAAAAAATTAATAAATAATATAAAAATTATAAATATCTTTCAAAATGTTATTTTAAAAAATTGTTACCGGTATTATACAAATATTTATCTGTAAATAATATGTAATTTATGACTATTAATTAAAAAAAATGTAACTACTATTTATTAAGTGACTAATAAAAAGTTTTCATAGCAAGTAATTATTAAAATTAATTTTTGGAAAAATTGTGAAATACATGTATTGTATTTTTATCACTACTTTAATATAAGATAATATGAAAGATGAGATTTTTTGGTGAAAAAAGTTTAATTCTATGATAAATAAGTCAACAAAAAAAAAATAAATTATAAATACTGTATAATAGTTGATATTGAAAAACTTATGACATAAAATTACTTTTGTCATAAACATAATTTTAATGTTAATGTTAAGCATTAATTCAATTAATAATAAAGACAAGACAATGAATTTTGTTAAAATAATTATTATGATTTGCATGTGTGGCACATGTAGTGGAAATATTATAGACAATCGAAAAGATAAGTTTGTAATCAACGGTTCCCATCATTTGATTAGAAATACAACAAAGACTTTGGTGCCGCCGATCAATGAATTGGTGTCACAAACAAGTAGTGATCAGTCATTGTTGTCTACAGTAAGACATGCCTTAAATCCGGTCAATTGGTTGCGATATCTGTTTCAAAGTATACCAGAGTTTGGTTTTTGGTTATTATCCATACATACCGATGAATGCCGTTATCTGGCTGTTTGTGAGACATCAAAATTTATGGTCAATAATGTACCAAAAATGCTATCAAAATGGTTTAAAGGGATGTCTACTGAATTTTTAAGTAAAATTATCGGCGATACTACTTATATGGAGGCCTGGAGTCTGGGAATGATTGGATCACTTGAATGTCCAGTATTTTATAATTGTAATGAACATCCATTTGGAATGAGATTCAATATATTCGGGTTTTAATTATCTATTTTTATATATATTTTTAAATAATTGATTAAATTTTTTTTAATAATTAATATTTTGTATAACATTTAAATAATTGATATTTTGTCAATAAAATAATTTTTGTTGTTTATCATTTTATTTTATTTTTCATTTAAATAACATTAAAATAATGTGTAATATAAATTTACAACTTTTATATTAATAAAAATCAAATAGGTAAAATCGACAAATTGTTAACAATAAATTTGGATGTGATATGCAAAAAAAACCACTGGCTATTCAAATATATACCGTAAGTCACAAAAAAAATTTGAAATTGATAATTTTTACATTTTTGTGTTGTATTTATTAATTTTAAATGCAAAAAGTAGTATACATTATACCAATGATATAACCTAAAGTTCGTTTGAATACATTTGTATATTTATCATAAAATGATTCAATTAATGTTTATTATTTTTTGCACTGCAATTATAAATATATCTTTATTACAATAAACAAAATTATGACAAAATTTTTACATAAATATATCGATAGATAGAATTAGTTAAATTACATGTAATAATAATAATAATTTTACACAGTATTTTTTAATAATTTTTAGTAATTTTTAAAAATAAGTTTTATATAATTTTATTTTATTTTTTGTTTGTATTATGTTAACATTAGTATAGTTTTATTAAAATAGCCAATATAAATTACTACTGTATAAAACATTTTATTTTTAGATATATTTGAATACCTTTCTTTAATACAAAATTTAAAATTAATTTCAAACTCTACTCAATAATCAATGCTTAAAAGTGACATAAGTATCACTAATAGTTAAAATAAAAAATTATGATTATTGCAAATAATATATTAAAGTTTTTTGCTAAGTAATCGCATTTAAAATTTAAAAACATAGATACTTTATTTGTACTCACAAATTTTATTTTTTATAGTGTTTTTTACTTTGAATTTAAAAATAACATCTATTTATTTTAGCTATGATTACCAATTAATTTATTATAATTAAAAATTTATAATACTATATATGGTTTATATTTAATTTATATTTTACATTTGTATAAACCATATACGGTATTATAAATTATTGTAAATTAAATATGATATATATATTTGATATAATTTGTCTTGTTGTATTATTAATATCTATATTAAATTTTTTATTATGCTTAATAATTAATTAATTATCATTTAGTCTATAATTATATTAATTTATTCGATCAATATATCCACAAAAAAATAATAATAATATTGAGTACATTTAAAGTATTTTTGCAAAATATCTTTTAAGCATAAATGTATGAAACTGAATAAAGTTTTTGTTAATTTACTTGAGTTTAGCAAATATTTTTGACCAAACAATACAATGTAATATAAATAGCAAATTATAGTCCTATTATATATTCGCAAAATGTTTCCTATATTTGTATATTTATTGGAAGAGTGAGAAAAACAATACACTATTAACTGCGGATATCGGATATCCCTTTACATTACTATTGAATTGTTGGGTTCACTGAAATAGTAGAAAACCAGGAGTGCTGTCGACTTATATAATAACTTAATTTACTGTAAATATATTTACTTTTTTCAATAAACACAGGTTAGACCAAAATATAAAAAAAAAATATCTACTTATTTTTTAAATTAATTATTTTATTTGTAAAAAATAAATAAATAATAATAATAATATATTGTTTATTTTTGTTATAACTTTTTTTTCAACCAACCCCTCATAAGCCACCGACACGTTAATTATAAAAAATATATATTACTTTTATAGTATTTGATAAATTTAGTATTTTTTGTATTATTATTTTTAAAAAAAAATAATGTTGTTATTCAGCTACACTATAACATTTGAAATTATAAATTGTTTTATTATACAGCAAATAATTCATTTGAAATAAAATCTATAGTGAAATACTGTACTTTTATAGTGAATTTTAGAATTTTTATATATTAACAGTTATATAAACTTTTGTAATTATAATTAAAAATTAATTATTTTGTTAAACATCAAAGTAAAGTTCATAATATAGTATATAAATATATTATAATAATATATAATATAATTAATTTGAAAAATGTGTCGACTAGTGTTAGTGACGGGTGCGGCCGGTTATATCGGTTCCCATTGTGTTCTGAATTTATTATCAAATAACTATGAAGTGGTTGTTATTGACAATAGCAGTACATCTGCATTAATCAATGGCCAACAATTACCGGAAAGTTTGCGAAGAGTGGAACTGTTAGCCAATAATTGTGTGAAAGAATTTATTTTCGGTGATCTCTGCAACAGTGATGTCATTAATAAGATGTTTAAAAAATACCGATTCGATGCTGTCGTCCATTTGGCGGACCTCAAGAATATTACCGAATCTATTGAACAACCGTTAGATTATTATCGCAATAATATGATTTCAATTATCAATTTATTAGATGCTATGAAAAGGTTTGAAGTTTTTAATCTAATATTTGCTTCTTCTGCTGTTGTCTACGGAAAACCTAAATATTTGCCGTTAGATGAGTTGCACCCAACTGGCCAATCATTGACCAGCTCTTATGCCAAAAGTTTATATATGACAGAACAGATACTACAAGATTTATGTACAACTGATCCCAAGTGGACAGTTGTGTCATTGAGAATGTTTAATGTTGTCGGTGCTCATAACTCAGCTGATATCGGTGAACATACCACTGGTGTTCCTAAAAACCTAATGCCATACATCACACAAGTGGCTAATGAAGGTAGACCTGAGCTAAGAGTGTATGGAAGTGATTACGACACACCTGATGGCACCGGTATTAGAGATTATATACACGTTGAAGATGTTTGTGATTTAATACTAAAAGCCTTAAATAAAATAATTTCTGATAACTGGTCGCAATGGTATGCATTCAATGTGGCCAACGGTTCCGGACATTCAGTTCTTGAGGTTTGAATAATTGATAATTAGTATGTCTTTAATAGTTTAAGTAAAATTTAATACGACTTTATGTATTGACTTATTGTAGATCATAGATATTTTTGAGAAAAAGTTGGCACAAAAAATACCGTATGTTTTGGTAGACAGAAGACCGGGAGATATTGGCCATAGTTTAGCTGATATATCATTAAGTAAACAAATATTCAATTGGGAACCAAAACGAGATATTCATCTCATGTGTGAATCAGCTATGAATTGGCAAAAGAAACACATAAATGGTTTTGATTGCATCCATCAAAATGTTAATCAATAATATGAATGACTATTAATTAATTAATTAATTTTTTACTTAGATTTTAATCTAAAGTTTTTAAATACATTAAATTAAACTATAAAATAATTAAATAAACATCAGGTACAGTATATATTAAAATTAAATAATACTGTATTTTCTCTAAACAAATAGACAATTTTACAACCAAATGTTTTGTCATAAATTTTTTATTTGAGAGAAAATAAAAAAAAAATAATGTATTAATTTAGAAATTTATTTATATTATTGCAAAACAAACTTTTGTTTACTGTATATAACATGTAATGTGTGTGTAAATTATGTGGTGTGTATGTATAGTATGTATAATATGATAAATTATAAGAAATATAATTGTTATTAATTCCGCAAAATATTGGATGGATTGAGTATAGTATTTCATATAAATTTATTATAAAAATAATATTTTATTTCGAAGCAATTGTTTCCCAATTTGAAGATTATTTTCCAAAAAATTGCTAAAATAAAAAGTTATCGCTGAAAGAGAGAGAGAGAGACTAAAGTTTTTAGTTAGTAAACACAATGTTTATTACAAACTAAATGTATTCATTCTATCAATGATAATAAGTTATTGAGATATCAAGAATATTGTAAAGAATTTCATTCAATAATAATTAAATGCAAAACTAAAAATCTGAAGATTTGTGATAACTATTTATCATATTTGGAACAGAATCGGTATATGTAACCCATTTGTTGTTCAAGTTTTAAACGCTATTAAAATGACAATTTAACAAGTTTTACATACCAGCCCTCACCTCCCGTTCCTTCCCTCCACATACGCCACTTCCTAACCCTCTACACCCACCCCAACCTAACCTAACCTAACCTAAAGTAATTGATAGCATTTGTCATAAACTTAATGGTTATAACAACGCGCGTGAAATTTCAACAACAAATGGGTTACATATAACGAACTTTAGCCATTTATTGATAAAATATTTTTTATAACAAATTGTTTATTTTCATTATATTATTATCAGTTTTATTTCAAAATAATACATTAATATTCAATTAAATATTATATTTTATTTTTGTCAAACATTTATTATAATTAAATTGTAAAAAATATCTCGAGAAGTGATGTTCGAGACATTGACTCTATTGTTGTCTTCATATAAAAAGCAAAGTTTCGGTTGAATTGAAATCATTTCAATTTTTATTTCTTATTTCGTTTATCACAAAATTCAAATCAACTGAAAAAATGAAAACCATTGCTATCGATGTCGAGTCTGAAGAAAAGACACTTCCGTCTGGAGGTTCGGGAGGAGAGGTAGTAGAGGCCAGACGTCGCAGAAAGCATTCGGGAGGAGGAAAGAGAAGGCGTTCCCGATCCAGAAGAGGCCGATCGCGATCTGGTGGCCGAAAAGGTGGTCACCGTCGCAGACGAAGAAGAAGCCGAAAGAGTTGTGACGACGAGTAAAGAGAAAAGAAAGAAGAAGTGGAAGTGTGTCTCAGATTTCAATTGAAGATTCAATGAATTAAATTTTTGTCAAAATTCTTGTTTTTCTATTATTTATATTTCAAAATAAAACACTTTTTAAAATTGAATTATATTTCTATTTAATTTCATAACTAAATGATAACTAAAAAATTTATTCCTAATATTTGTCTTAAATTATCTTTTAAATGGTAACTGAAGACTGGTTTTGTCGTTAATTTCTTATAAAAAAAATCGTTAATTATATTTTATTAAAACCGTTAAAACATTTTGTAATTCAAATTTGAATTATTTGAAATTTTTTACTACAATTAAAGATTCAATAAAGTTATGAAATAATCGCGCGATAATTCTTTATATTTTAAATAAATCAAATATATATATAAATTTTAAATCATATAAAACTAATTACTTGGTTTAGACTTTTTTAAAAACATGATGAGAGGATCAATGCATAGATTCAACAAATATCTTCAAAGAGATGAAGCCATCAAACCTTTTGATCAAAAAGACTTAGATTGGAATTGCAATCATCTCTTCAGTCAATACAAAGATTCAACAAAACAACAGAATTTACAACAAATATCTGAAGACTATAAAGATGTTGAACACAATGATTGTCTCACTGATTGTGAACTAACGAGTGATGATATCACTTCACAGACATCATCCAACACTTCATCAGTCATTTCGGTCACTTCTGGTGATAGCAAAGACAAAGTTGTTTTCTCAAAAGATTCATTCTCTTCGTTGCCAAACAAGTCGTCTGAAGTGACTATTCAGACAACAGATATGTCTGTTATTTCAGTCAATACTACTCCGGATTTTTCAAATGGCAAGACATCAACAGACAAACCGTGTGACGTTACCCTTAGATCAAGACTTGTGATCAACAACTTCACTAATCAGTTGTTGTCACCAATTAAGCCGTCAGTTGTTTTTGTCAAAATGGAGTCAAATGAAGAAGAAGTCACAGATTCTTCTATCACTATCACTTCGTTTCATACAATTTCTGAAGAAGAAGTCAAAGAAGAATCTATTACTTCGTTTTCTAACATTTTTGAAGAAGAATTCAAAGAAGAATCTATCACTTCGTTTCCTACCATTTCTGAAGAAGAATTCAAAGAAGAATCTATTACTTCGTTTCCTATCATTTCTGAAGAAGAATTCAAAGAAGAATCTATTACTTCGTTTCCTACCATTTCTGACGACTTGCAGAATGATTTGCAAAAAAGCAAATCTGATTTTTCGACCCAATCAACAACTGATCTCTCATTTTATTCATTTTCATCACACAAAACAATCGCTTCTCCAATATATGACTCTGATTTCTGTAAGATATGTGAGAGTCCCGATGGCACTGGACTTCATATTACTGTCCGTCAAATTATGTTTTGAACTAAAATTTAGTTTATCGTTCAAATTATTATTCAAAATTTTCAATATATTCTGTAATAATATCAATACAGTACTGATATTAAATTTAAATTCAATTAAACTTTAAAAAGTAATAATAATCAGTAAACTTTATGTTTATTGACATTAAATGTTATGTATTTTTAAAAATGATTTATAAATTATATATAATATTTGCTAAAAAACTGATTCCCAATATAATTATTTTGGATCCAAATATCGATATTGAGAGTGAGTTAGACTTAGGATAAGTTAAAGTTAAATATTCATTAAACCATCCATTTCTGGCAAATACAGACGATTCTTATATTAGTGATCAGTCTATCTGTTAATACGAGTAATTAATTGAAATATTGATACAAATTTTAATGCAATTGTACGTATAATATAATTTTCATTACATATTAAATGTAATTTTTTTGAATTTAATATATTGAATACAATTTCAATGATATTGATAAGAAAGTGTTGTTTTAGTCTTCATTATTTTTATAAGTTTAGTTAATTAGTTTACTTTTTAAGTAAAAATAAATGAAACTAATAATAAATAATAATAATTCACGATTTACAACAAATAATTAAATTTAAAAAAAATTAGTATAAATAAGTTTGAGTTTGATTTTCAAACGTTTTTCGATTCAAAAGTCCAAAATTGAAATTAGATCTTCAAAATTGTTAACAAAATCAGTGAACAAACAAAATGAGTTTCAACACTAAAAGTATTGCTGACGAAGCCATTGAACCATTGGATCAAAATGAGATCGATTGGGGCAATGATGTCAATGTCATGAAATTGTATCAAAAGACTTGCTCGCAAAAGACATCAGTTTCGGTTGGATCAGTCAAAAGCGATGACTTGTATTCACAAACGGTTACTACAGTTCCCGGACAGTCCTCGCAAATGGACAGTCAGTTCCTAGGAATGAATTCAATGGACACTGAAACAAGTGGTGGACTGTTGTCAAAATCGTTGACAACTTCGGTCATATCGGCTCCTTCGACATCAAATGAAGAAAGGATTACTTCGATGTCTTTATCAAAGAATGCATTCTCGGCTTTGCCTTCAGATTCTGTTGAAGAAACAAAGATTGGAACCAATTCTTCGACCGAAACTTCGGTGATATCCGAGCTTTCGGATGATTTGAGCACTTCATCTGAACAGCCAGAATGCGAAGTCACAGTCCGATCAAAGTTCAAGTGATCCCAAATTCTTGTGGTCTTTAAGTAGTTGAGTCTGAATATCAAACAACAACAAAAATAGTTGAATATCAATGAAATAAATTTGAGATTTGAAATTGTTTTCACTATCAAAATCAAACTCTTTAAACATCAAAATCTTTTTTTTGTGTTGTTTTGATGAAACTGATAAATATTAATTAAATACAAATTCAAATAAATTATTAATATTTTATTTTAGTTTATTATTAATATTTTTTTTAATTTATTAATCAAAACTTATGCAAACATAACATAACAGAGCAAATAATAAGTTATATAAAACTGTAGATAATATCGACAAACTCGAGATTTTGTATAATAGCTGTTGTGTTAAACAATAAGAGTATTGAGAAAAAAGATTTTAATTTTATTTTTATTTTACATTTAAATCAATCAAATCGTTAAACGAAATAAATTAATATTTAAAAGAAAACAAAACTGAAGAAATCGCTACTTCTTTATGGAGAGATTACGTAATTTCATTGATAAAACCAAAAGAAAGTTTCAAAAGAATGGTCGACAGAAATCCAAGACTAAAACTAAAACCAAATTCGATGAAAATCAAAGAAAAAGTGGTAAAAAAAGTTTGATTGATATTAATAAAGAAGTAATGATTGGCAAACAGTTGGCATCCAATAAGTTAGTGAAGCCATCGGTCGAAAAATGTGAAAAGTCTTGTGAAGTCAAGTCATTGAAACAGGAGATTAATAAACAGATTGAATTGGTTGGCAATTATTTCAAGAAGAGTACTCACAAATCAACGGATAAATCAAAAAGTTTACCGATTGTTGACATCGATGACAATAACAATAACATCGAAGAAATTGAAGTACTCAGTGATGAAAGACACAAATCAAATGATGAGAAAAACAGTTATCATTTGAGTTCGCAATCAATTGAATTCAAAGTTCACAAAAGTCCTGAATATTATCTGAAATGTGGTAATCAATTGTACACAACGAGTCCAAAATCTTCATATGAAGAGTTAGTATCAGAGGTCAAAAGTACATCATTTGATTCTCACATCTTGAAGACTGTCGACAATTTTGGTGATTCTTTGAGTACAAGTGATTATATTTTACAATACAACGAATTTAAGTCCAATCATTTAAATGATAATCAGAAATCTGATGGTCAGATCTCAATTAAAGATATCGACATCAAGAGTGCCAAATGTATACTCTGCTGGAAATTGGTTTTCAAAGATATTCAGATAACCAATTGTAGTCATATATATTGTAGTAATTGTCTCAACAAATGGCTTAAGTTTAGTCAACACTGTCCTAAATGTCGTTCATTTATCACTTGTTTTGCACATTCATTGCAAATTGGATCCAATCATAGGATTGCTATTTATTCAGCTGATGACTACAAAGTAACTCAAATCTCAAGAAATGATGCCAATTATGTCGATTCGTTGTGCGCCTCATACTTATGGCATACCTATTGTTACAATCGCGAAGACTCGCAATTCTTGGACAATATTATTGGATCACTCACTTCAAAGGTCTCACAATTGGAGTCAGAATTCTTGCACTGCGAAGACATCAACAAAAAAGCCATCATTAGGTATGCAATCGATGATCACATGAATCGATTGGATGACTGGAGACAAATGAAGATGAAATCAGATGAAAGTCTTAATTATATCTCTGGCGAAACAAAACCTCAAATGATGTCATTTTGGAAACAAATGATTTCCACTAGAAATCAATCGGTTTTGTAAAAAACAAAATTTTATCAATAAATTAAATTATATCACATATTCCACAAAATGATAAAATTTTAATACAGTAATTATTATATCATTATCTTAATCAATTAAATATGTTTTGCCTATAATTTTTTGTTTTATTAAATAAAATAACAATTACAGGTAAATATTAGTATATATATCCAGATATAAAAATATAATTTACATGTTTAATAAAATACAATATCTTAACAAAAACCAAAATTATTGTTAAAATCACAAATGGATTGCTAAACCATTTGGTTTGTTTGGATCAAAATGTGAATATTTAAGTAAATGCTCTTTTAATAAAACATTTTTCGAGTTATGAATCGATCTAATTAGTCGATCAAATATCATATTTTCAGGTTTTTTCATTATTTTATCAGTGATTGTTTGCCTAAAAAGATTATGATTTAAATGATGAATACAAATCAAGTATAATATTGGACTATCATTGGGTTGAAGTGCACCACAAAGTAGTGCTTTCATATAGGACTCCAATGTTTGCGAATCGGATTCAATTGGTGTCAGAAAGTTGTCGATCGGAATCGATATCTAAAACAATATAATTAATTTATACCAAATTATATATAAATTTTTAAATAAAAGTTTATTTCAAACCTCATTGAATGAAATCTTTATTATTCTAAGAGTTGTTAAATATTCTGTAAATAGTTTAGTCCTGAATAGTGAACTACATTTTGTTTGACAAAATACAAGCAAATAATTGATAAATAATTTGTTGCCATAAGATGTTGATTCAAATTGATCCATAAAACGAACAAAACTATTGACAAATTATTTAATTAAAAATATTAAATATATTAATTGGTAAAAACTACGGTATAATACATACAAATCACCACAGGTTTCATAATATGGAACCCTATCTTGGATTTGACAATTGATTCCATCTGATAATAATATCTTCAAAATACCAAACATTAACTTTTGTATCGTTTCATCAAAAAACATTTCTTCTGATGTCAAAAATACGGATGAAATAAAACAAAATAAGACAGAAGTGGTAGAAATCATTTGTTTGTAATAATTATTATGTCGTTTAATAACTAATGACACAAACGTTAGGCAATCAGTCATCTCAAGAATTGTGAAACTTTTGTTTTGAACTGATTTCAAAAGTGGATCAAATAGCCAGTGAAGACAATCAAACTTTGAGTTTTTAATATATAATAACTTAATTGAATCCATTTTATTCAAATTTAAATTAAATTTATCTGTAAGACTCAATTGTGACATATTATCAGTTATTGACAATAAATGAAGTTCTTTGTTAAATATGACACAATTTAACAAATTTTGTTTAAATCTTTCACTCTTTATAAATGGTAACATCAGTATTGAACTGTTTATATACATATTTATGTCTTGATTGATCACCGATGCATTGGATCCAATGAGTCCACACATTTCAGACAATGCATTCAATTCATAACAATCGAAAATTGTAAGCAATGTTTCAAAATTAAGATTATTAATGGTTTTACTTATATAATCATCAATGATATATAACTCATTGGCTAATTTAATATTAGTCGATGTTTTGATTATTTGAATAAATGCCAAATATATACAAATAGGTGATTCATTGTTCAAAATGGGAACTGTATCTAAAGTTTGATTATAGACTGATCCATATGATGGTAGGTTTGATGAATCTCTTTTTCTTCCGCAAGACTGTGCATTTAGTTTAATCAAATTTGAATTATCAATCAATAAATTTAATAATTTGTTTTGAAAAGTTTTAGATTCAAGTATTTGTAAAATAATTGTTTGCAATAATTGTATTTCATATTTGGATATCAATAGGTATTCAATGACAGATAACAGACATAGATTTGCATCAAAATTGGGAACAATAACTGTATTTTTGATAAGAGTTAACCATTTCATTGCTGTCATTAAAATTAATTCATTAAATGCTTTAAATTCACGATTTTGATGAACACACGTCTTAATTGCAAAAACAAGTGTTGATGCGTATTGAAGATCAAAGTTATTTTGATGACTAATCAGATCCAGTGTCGAACAGTACTGAAGTTGTCTAATAATAATTGGAAACATTTGCCAAAAATCATTTACACATAAATTTTGTGACATCAAAGTAATCCAAAGTCGAAGCGATTCAATGGACACCTCAAGAATCTCACGACTGTTCAGACAATTATCGGGATTTAATGTTAAATAAACTTTTAACGATTCAATTAGTTGTGGAAATGTATTCACTAATGTATTGACAATTACTGTATGATTGTCATCACTGGTCAAAACACGTATTAATTTAATGGCCTTTGCATTTGGTTTATCATCAGTGGTATTCGTCAACGACATGACTGTTACTGGCATTAAATGTTGGATACTTTCAAAAAGATAGGGACAGTTCATCATATCATGTCTTAATTCAGATGAATGTCTAGCGATTCGTATTAATATATCCAACAAATCATTGATTGCTTTCAAATCCAATTGAGTTTTCATAATCTCTAACAAATATCTGATCCTCTGAAGCAAAGATGTTCTCTTTACTAAACAGTAAATTATATCCAATTTCAACAGCTCTTCATCACTTAACTCTTGTATTTTTGTTGAATCATACGATGGCTTAAGATTGTCGACATTATTGTCATGTTTAAGACATTGCGTGAATAGCGTAAAACCTCTGTCGAGGAACAGTTCATCGACTTGTGTATTGCATAACATAGCGTGCAATGCGCTGATGGCTACTCTCCAGACACTACCAGTGTTGTCATCGAGACAGAGACGAGTGACCAAAACAAGTGCCGAATTTTGCATCAATTGTTTGTTAAGACTTTCATCAAAACACTCATCATATAAGCCATTATAGGCTTTGGTTAACAATTTAGATAATACTTGAAGACCTAACACTTTTTGTGAACTAAACGTACTCTGAATTAAAGTATATAACTCTTGTATCGTATATCCAGCACTCGATTCATCCAATTGGTGATGAAATAGACCCGAATGGACATCAATATCGGACACACTTTTGTCAATTAGGTTTCCCTCGAAATCAAATCTGGCGTTAAATGTCTTTTCTGTAGAACTTATCACTTGTTTTGCATCATTAATCATACAATTGGTTTCTTTGATATTTCCAATCCACGACATCTTCTTAGGTTCGATGACATCCATGTGAAGCCATTTATTTTCCTCTACATCTGTCGGCTTAATTGGTAAATCATTTTCATCAATAGTATCATTCATCTCGATATCATTTGCCGTTTCATCAATAGTTTGTTTTTCTTCATTTTTCTTAAATTTATTCGTTAAATAGTTAATTGATTTTTCACTTAACTTTGTAATCAAATCTCTTCGCATTTCTTCAATCTCTTTTGAGTCCAATTTATTAATCATTAGTTCATTTTCTTGACGAATGTTATGGATATCATTCTTCCAGTTGTCTGAACCCAAACCAACGCCTGTAACCACACTTTTAGTTGATTTTATGTGTCCAACAATTGTCTTATTGTCTGTTAACTCAACATTGATATTGTCTTTTGAATTACTGCCAAACCGTTTGGCCATTTGCTGTGCAAACAAACTTTTGCCGCTTTTCGGCACTAAATTTCTATCTCTTATCTGTGCTTTCGGGAAACCAATTGACACATCTGTACGGGTCGTATCACTACTACTACTACTACTACTACTACTACTTGTAATAAACTGTTGCCAATTATCGACATTTCTTTCGACAATTGATGTGACAATCTTTGTCGGGATGTCGTGATTGTCTGCAATCGCATCCTTATCGTCGTTGTCTATGTCGTCAATCACTTCATTATCACACAAATGGGTGTCATTTTCATCAGTCTTTTGTAATTTATTTGCTTTGAGAAACTCTTGCTGTTGTTTCAGTATATCTTCAATTGTTTCACTGGTTTTCGGTCTCTTTAATGATGAAGACATTGCTTTTCATTAAATGATTGACAGATCACTTAAAAAACGTAAACACAATGTATTATAAACTTATAATAAACACATGTTTTCAATGTTTACTGCATTTAAATAACAAACATTTAAAACAATGTTTTTTTAAATGCATTCAATAGATAGCGCTATACATTAGTTACAATTTGTAATTTATAATCTATTCAATACTTTTTTTAAAAAAAATATTTTGTATTATAGGTATTGATAATTGATTCACACATTTATTGGGCAATTATTATATGCATTAGGGTCTCAATTATAGCGCTCTCACCTGTAGTTAGGTATTGATTATAATTATTTATAAATTATCACATAATAAAAAACAATAAAAATTGTTGAACAAATTACATCATGTAATTTACATGACATATGTTTTAAAACTAACATAATATTACTTTTTTTAAGACATGAAAACTAATTTTCAATACATGTATATATTTTTACTTTTTTAGTAAATTATAGAGTAATAAATTTATAGCAGCTGATTAAAAAAAAATTGTTACAATACAGTATATAAATATAATAATTAGTATATATATATGTTCATTAGCCAATTTAATTGACCAATATTATCAACTTAAATATCATAAAATTATATTACAGTTTAATAAAAACAATTTTGATAATGTTATAACTATCTATATTTTAAATAATTAAGATAATAAGATATATTAGTAAATTAATTAAAAAAAAACTTTTAGATTAATAACCAATTTGTAATTATTGTATTTACTGTATACAATATTATTATATTTTAGGACAAACAGTTAGTTACTGGAAATTGATGAAAATTACTATTATGATTTATTACCTAATTTTTTGGACATAGTTAAATATGTATTAAATTAATAGATATAAAAGTTTATATAAATTTTTTATATGAAATATTTTCAGTCACTATATTAATTATTTGAAAAGTCTAAACTAAATTTGATAATATTGATACGTTGAGGATATTTGGTAAAATTAATTTACTAATTATAAAAAAAATAATAAAATCAGACAATATGTAATTGTTATAAATATTGGTTGTATAGTTAGACTACAATTATGTTGAATAATATGTTTAATCCATTGAATGTGTTTGAAAACTGGTGTCCAATATATAGCAATCGCTTGACTGGTGTTTGTGCCAAATGAAGCACCACTTGCTATACCAATAAGTATTGCTTTAACTCTTTGATTGTCTATAGTCTCGTATAGGACTAAACCGGCACCGGAGTCACCCTTTGAAATAAAATTGTTAACTATTGAATTGAGAGACAAACTTTAACACTACACTACACTTACATAACAAATTGTAGTCACATTTTGTGGCCACCGATCAAGTCGGGCGCATAACATATTGAACCGACACTTACTTATGGCTTCAATTGAAAATTGTTGTCTTTGTAATACTCTTTTATATTTATGATTATAATTATTACTAAAACATTTTGCTGAACCCCAGCCATACATTGAAGCTAATTCATGATTAATATGTTCAACAGTGGTATTAGTGGGCAAACAAACCATATTTATTATATCATTAGTATTAAAGTTAATATGACCCACAAATATGTCGAAATTTATATCTTGTGTCAACTCATAAATAGCAATATCGTAAACACATAATAATTTGTTTGAATTGCATTTATTACTATAAAACGGGTGAATATAGATATTATTGACTGCAATGGTGTGTCCAGGCTTTCCATTGCCAATGTCACCAATTATTACATTTATATCTGATTTCACTCTCTCATTAAATCTAAACAAATGAAAACATTTAATTAAATTGTATACTATAATTATACTACTGTTACAGTACATTAAACATTTACTAGCCATACATAGACATAGTCAGTCAAACATACCTGTGCCGAGTACAATGGGCAGCTGTGAGCACCCATTTGCTTCCAATAATACTACCGGTACAGCGTTTATAAACTTCAAGTGAAGTATTATGAGTAGTTTGCGGGTAAATATGATAATTAATATGAACTGACCATGGTGACATTGGTGACATTGATGATACTAGATTTGATACACCATTTTTCGCCGTTAATACCATTTTATCCCTAATAAGCCACTTATTAGAGATCCCACAGTATTGTTGTAGTATTTCAGTATTATTATCATAAAATTTTACTGAAATATTATTAATAGATTTGAAATTTAAAACTAAATATACTATTATTATCAGTATTTTAATCATTGAGTAGATTTTTGTTTGTTTGATATTTGTTATGAATATTTGAATATATTTTACACATTATATATTTGTTATAACAAATTAAAATTTTTGTCAACAATCAACTGAGTTATTAATTAACAATTATTAATATAATAAAGAAAATTAATAAAATAATCATTTTTTATTTTTCAATTTCCTATTTTTATTAATTTTCTTAATTTAATTTATAAAAAAATTATCAGACAAAAAAAATACTAAAATTTTTAATAGAATTTAATTAAATTATATATACAGTTTATTTCAATTTAATAATAATAATAATAATAATATTTGAAATTTATTATTTAAAAATTAGAAAGCAATGCATTGTAAGTAATGCATTATATTGTAAATAATATTTTATCTCTCAAAATTTTAGTCTTAAATTTTAATAAAATGTAATTTATATTCATAACTTAATATATTAGATTTTTAGATACAAGATATTGTAATTATGATATTATTATAATATTATTTATGTTGTGTATGTTAGGGTCAATACATTTAAAGAATTGTATAAAAATATGTTTTAAAATGATTGACCGGAAAAATGATGCCAACGACCAATCAAATGGATAAATGACTAAAATCTCTCTCTCTCTCTCTCTCTCTCTCTCTCTCTCTCTCTCTCTTCAACTCTCTTTGTGTCTCTTTTTATGAGCCATTCACTCACTTTCAATATACTGGTGCACTGGTACACCTCAGCTCCACAACACAAACACATTAGAAATCGGTAAAAATAAAGTACATGATAGCACTGGGAGGTCTAACGTTTGATTCATATGCCATGTCATATAATGGCAAATGAAATGTTTACGAGATATAACATTGTGTTTAAGTGAACCATAGATTTCATATATACAGTCATCGGTTAGCACTGGCTTATGGAGAGAAAGAGAGAGAGAGAGAGAGCTTTCAATACCAGTAGGGATTATATTGAGGGAAGAGATAGACATTCATCTATAGTATGGGTTATAATTATATTTGATATTGTTTTAGACGAATATTAGATAATAAAATTATAAACGTTTTTATTGTTTTTATTAACTTATATTTTTGACATTTAAATGTTAATAGCATTCAAATAAAACAATTAAGTTATATTGAATGTTGAATGAAATCACGAATTAGTCTTAAATAATTAATTAATTATTTTAAATGAATAAATTAAATAAAAAATATTTTATAGTTATATTTATTAATTTATTAACATTTAATCATTTATACACTATGTTAATTGATTAATATTTTTTATATAATATCATTTATAAAATATAATGTATTATTAATAGTCTATTATATAATTAATATTTAAAAAATACATTATATTTTCTATTCAGTTAATTAATTTTAACATTTTTTAATTTTTCTTTAAGTATTATATATACTGTATATAGAAATTCTATATAAAAATATACAGTAACCTTATATGACAAATATAACAAATAGTTTAATGATGTAGTTTTGTTGATGTAATATTTTTTTAGGTAAAAAACATAACCAATAAAATAAATATAATATCGTTGTTAAGTATTGGTATTGTTATAAAATAAAAGATGTATTGTTTGTCAAATATAAATTGATATAAAATATATACTGTACTTTATATACTGTACTTTATTATTTATATATACTGTACAACACTATATATATATATACTGTAAATATACTTATCATAAAATTAATATTTGTCTAAATACACGATAAGCCAATTCACAAATATATCTATAATATTTATATATATAATATAACCAGTGATTACATTAGTTGTAACGAAAGCTACATTTTCTTTTAATATTGTGCTCTCAATGCGCTCTCAATTAAATTATTTCATATATTTGGTCCAACAAGAAGTTAGTGATAATTATATATACTGTATATACAGTATATATAGACTATACTCAATAGTATTGTATAGCAAACGATGTGTGTGTGTGTGTGTCTCGTCAACTGTCGCACCAATGGTACTGTAGGTCTGTATTGATAACAATGGAAATATGGGAGAGAAGTAGTCCATTGATATCGGCAGCAGAGGACACGACTTCACCAAATAAAACATACATTAATATACAGTACGGCTGTATATAGCACTGGCACTGTTCGTACTGTTCTCTTATTTTATCTCTAAAGTACTGTATATGACTCGTGTGTATAATTGGTAGTATATGTAAGCGTAGGGATAAAATACTAGTCAAGTAGTAATGTACTAACAAAACATTTAAATACTATTGAATAGTTATAATTTTTTTGTCTATTAATAGATCAAATTTATTATTCAAATAATTTTTTCAAATCTAATTATAATTAAAGCATAAAAATTACAATTAGTGTTTTTTGTTAAGAATAATTTCTATATATTAAAATAAAATTTTTAAAACAATAATACATAATTTTGAAGTTATTATAATACCAGTATAATTAATAGTGTAATAATATTAGCGTTGACGTATAAATTAAATCAGTTTTATTTTTTTACAAATCAATTATAATTTTTATGATAATAATTGATAAGTAAATTATTTCAAATTTAAATAATGATTTGTATCAATAATTAAATTGATTGTCCTATATATATGTGAAGCAAATAGTTATATATCTGCGTTTACATTCTCTAATAATAAGGATCCAATTCACGGCTTTTAAGCGAATCACTTGAAGGGAGGGGACATATACTTTGTGAGGGGAAACTTGTGTTTGGCTTATATACCAAACAAAAAGCTTATTATTAGACAAACATTTGGAAATTATTTTTTTTATCGACAAACTATTGAATTAAAAAAGTTATTATCAAACAAAACTAATTGCAGTAAAAAAGCTGTGGTTTTTGT